GTTTAAATAACATATTTACACTATGAAAACAGTAACTGTCACATTATTTAATTATGTAATGTTGTTATTGTTGTGTGCCATCGAGTTGGACCCGACTCATAGCGACCCCTCCTTGGGTTTCCGAGGCAGTATCTCTACAGAAGTAGATTGCTCCATCTTCCTTCTGAGGAGTGGTTGGTGGGTTTGAACTGCCAGCCTTCTGGTTAGCAGTCAAGTGCCTTAGGCACTACGCTACCAGAGCTCCTATGTGACATTAAATTTTACCTTTTATGTCTCAGAAAACAATTATACCACTACCAGGTTAGACAGACAGAGCAAGAGCTGTCACTAAAATGGAGGACAGCTATAAAATGTGTCATAGGAACAATAAAAAGACAATACATTTAGTATTAGAAACTGCTGGAAGGTAAGACAAAGCAATGAAGTCTGACAAGAGGAGGCGCCACACTGATCATATCTCTAAGCAACAGGCAATGAAAGCTCGAGATAAGCATCTTCATAATATGCAGCTGACTCCATTGCATGGATCATAATCATAGAAGCACTTCCTGGGTCGGGAGCAATTATAAAAATTTATTAGACTGTTTTTAATAGAAGAATCTAAAAAGAATCTTCCCATAAATTGTTTTCATAAAGAATCCAAATTATTTAGTCTCTCTCTTGTTAAACATCAGTACAAAATTGAGTCTGTTAAAACAGTGGTCCTATTAGATAAAGTAGATGGAATTACCCCAACAAAAGATTCACGTTGAGGGACTGAGACACTTAGGGTTGGGGGCTTGGGGCCACAGTCTCCACAAAGAAAATGTTCCACATCCTACTTCAGTGAGTAGTGACTGGGATCTTAAAAGCTTGTGGGTGGCCATCTAAGATACAACTATTGGTCTCTCTCTGGTCTCTCCATTGGTCTTGAAAGCTTGTGAGCAGCCATCTAATCTAAATAATAAGAGTGAAGAAAATCAAACACTGAAGGAAACAATTAGTGCAAAGGACTAACAAAGCACACAAATCACAGCCTCCACTAGCCTGAGACAAGAAGAACTAGATGGGGCCCAGCTGCCATTACTCACTGCTCTGACTGGGATCATAATAGAAGGTCCTGGACACAGTGAGGAAAAAAAAAAATAGAACAAAACTCAACATCATAAAAAAGACCAGACTTACTGGTCTGAGAGAGACTGGTGGAACCACCAAGGCGATGGCCCTTAGATACCCTTCAAACTTGGAACTGAACACACCTCTGGGTATCAACTTTGAGTCAAACAATAGACAGGCCTACAAAATGAACAAAAATACCTGTGAAGAACATACTTCTTAGAACAATCAGCCATATGAGACCAAAAGGGCAGCATTTGCCCAAAAACAAAGGTGAGAAGGCAGGAAGAGGCTGGCAGGAGGGAAGAATGGGAATGAGGAACCCTGGGAGGAAGTGGGAAGAGTGCTATTACACTAAGGGGATTGCAACCTATGTCACAAAGCAAAATCTGTGTAAATTGTTGAATGGGAAACTAATTTGCTCTGTAAACTTTCACCCAAACCACAATAAAATGCGCAAGTAACAAAAACAGAAGAGGACAGGAGAAGGAATAAATGAAGATTAAAAAAAAAAGTATTCACACATTTCAAATCTCTGTTTAATACTTGTTCCTCATGTGAAAGGGATACAAACCACTTGGGAGGTAAATGAAGAGAGAATTACTCATAAAAGTCTAATTTCTCATCTCTGAGGCTTCTCTAGCGCAAAGCAGCACACGTTTCATTGTTCTGGCCATGTCCTTTGGAAAGGAACTACAGCTTCTGGGCTGAAAACTGGCCTAGAAAACAATGATAGGGCTTAGTCATCAAGAAGCCCTTTCGCTACGAGAGAATGATTCTTTCAGACAGAGGCTCAGAATCTAAGAGCAACATCCTAGAAACTCCTACAGCATTATCTGTGATGAAAATGCAAGGAAGCCAAGTTCCTTATTCAAAAATCAATTGAATAACTTCTGTTGCAACAGAGATAAACAAAACTATAGTCAAACAGTTCACTGATGTTCCTCTTTGATGAATAAGACAACCATACAAAGAGCTAAAATGGAGACAGTGCTGTATGATAAACATGTATTATGCCAGACTGTAATACTGAATATGGCAACTTTGTTAAATGAGACAACTCATTCAAGAACACATATGGTAACTGCTTTAGTGGCACGCATTCCTGGTAGCTAGTCACTTTTATTCTCTAAAACATTAATAATCTGCCAGTTTAACAATCTGAACAGGGGTGGGAAGGTGAATGGGACTACACCCATGACCATATATATATATATATTTGTTGTTGTTGTTGTTGTTATGTGCCATCGAGTCAGACCTGACTCATAGCGACCCCTCTTTGGGCTTCTGAGGCAGTATCACTACAGAAGTAGATTGCCCACCTTCCTTCCAAGGAGTGGGTGGTGGGTTTGAACCGCCAGCCTTCTGGTTAGCAGTCAGATGTCTTAGGCACTATGCTACCAGAGCTCCTATATATACATATAAATATATAGGTAGAGATAGCCTCTTTCAAACATGTATTTTATATATATATATATATATATATATATATATGTGTGTGTGTGTGTGTGTGTGTGTGTATATATATATAAAATACATGTTTGAAAGAGGCTATCTCTACCTATATATTTATATGTGCTGCAAATACATCCATGAACGTAGGAGAGCACACAGGGGCCAAGTTATGAACACGTGTTAGTCATAACCAAACACCTTTAGGGAATGAGTTGCTGGCTATGGTGGCTCAGGATCATCTCAGGGGACACTAAGGTCAACTGGCATAACATAGTCCATGAAGAAAGTGTTCTACATCCTACTTTGGTGAGTAGTGTCTGGGTCTGGAAAGCTTGTGACCCGCCATCTAATCTAAGGTGCAACTACTGGTCTCTTCCTATCCAGAGCAAAGCCGTGTGAAGAAAATAAAAGATGCAGGGAATAATTAGTCCAAAGGAATAATGGAGCATGTGAACCCTAGCCTCCATGATACTGAGACCAAAAGAACTAGATCATGCCCAGCTATCAACTGTTGCCACTCTGAAAGGGATCAGAACACAGAGTCTCGAATACAGTGGGTGTAAATGTGGAACAAAACTCAAAATCATAAAAAACACTGGACTTACTGGTCTGATGAAGACTGGTGGAACCCCCAAGACCATGGCCCTCAGATACCCTTCAAGCCTGGACTCAAAATAAATCTCCCAAAAAAGGTTTTTGTAGAAAATAAAAAAAAGAATATTTAAAAACTCCAACCAGGACTACTATTATAATCTTGAAAAACACACTTTAAGCTAGTGTACATCATTTCCAGAAATTGCAACTGTAAATGATAATTATAGACTAGGAAGATCTGTTAACATTTTAAGATCAAGAATATCAAACAGACTTACTGTTTAAGTCACCTATTTCAATACCTCATTCAATCCAGGGAAGCAAGGCTAGCACAGTTCTGTGCTTGTTTCTAGGGATAAACCATGGTTGCCATGTTAAAGCAGAGGAATGATTATGAGTCCTCCAAAGTGCTAGTCTACATTAGAAATGAACACATAGTCCTGAAAGTGGACAGTGATTACATTCTAAAAACTCTCACTGCCATTGAGTTGACTCTGACTCATAGCCAGCCTGTTTGTGTTCCCAAGTCAGTAAACCTTTATGGAAGTAGATTGCCCAGTCTTCCTTCTGTGGAGTGGCTGGTGGGTTTGAACCGCCAACCTTTTAGTTAGTAGTCAAGTGCCTTAGGCACTATGCCACCAGGTAAGGCAATGTACAAAACCTGTTAGCTACATAACTTTAAAATATAACCAGAGATAGAGGCAGAAACAGAAGCTTTGGTCTTTTAAAAGTGACCTTCAGCAATCAGTTTTATGTTTGTTTCCATTTTCTTTTACTGTTTAAGCCTCAATCAAATCAGCAGTCTTTAGGGATTTTGAAATCACGATAGACTAAAATCCTCTCTAACTCAACTGTTTGACTAATGCTGAGTGTTTAATAATTCTACTTGTGAGAGACTTTTTTTTTTTTTTTGACGAAATCCTGCTGTGTGTAATCTTCACATGTTCCCCAGCTGCCCAGTAACGCAAGGCACCACTGTCCCTATTTTCTTTATTATTAAACCTAGAGATGATTTTAAAAATGAATTATTATACCCAAAAACAAAGATGAGAGGCAGGGAAACTGGAGGGACTGAAATGGGGAAGGCTGGGTGGAAACGGGGAGAGTGATGACACATTGCAGATATATAAACCGATACCACGGAAAAATGTGTGTATAAACTGTTGAATGGGAAACTGATTTGCTGGGTAAAATTTCACCTAAAACATAATTAAAATTGTTCAAAAAAATTATTATTACAAAGAGATCTATTATGTAGAAACCATGCCAAATGAAAATAGTTTTGCTGTACTAACATAGCATCTATCACCTACAAAGGCAAAGATTTGCTTCCCAGTACTAATGATACATATTCATGGCTTGATTCCAAGGATAGGAAGTTAATAACTGTGATAGATAGACTAGAGTTAAGTTAATGAATTTCTAAACTTTATGCTTTCAATAATAAAACCATTCAAGCTATAGCATTTGGACTCTACTTCCACAGATCAGGCACTTTGATGCTCAACAGGTTGAGTAAATTGAATCCATATATTGTATTTACATTCTCTGTCAAGGTTGCTTCTCCACATTTGAGTGATCAAAGGCAAAACAGTCATCAACCCTGTAGCCTTCAATACTGTGTTCATTACATTTAATCAAGTGCCAACTCCACCGCATCATTTACCAACCTTAAGAATGTTTAAAAGCATGGCATTGTTTAGCAACAAATGTAGGCAAAGCACTGTGTTAAAATATACACGCACCACAATAAAAACAAAGAGGAGGGCAAATGAATATTATCCTTCACACTGTGCATGAAAATGATTGCAAAATGTACCAAACCACCCAGTACACATTTGGGGGTGGTTTTCTACCTGAGGCAGCATCAATCACTGTGGAAACTCCCCTTCGATCAGAGACTGGACGGGATGACCCTGGCATGCTGACTGGGTCAGAGCGGACCGGCTGGATCCTGCAATGCAATTTAATTTAATTTAATTCACATATGTTACTGGCGTCAAAACTGCTGCTTGCTACAACAGACCTTAAATCAGGAGTGCTGGAATAGCCCAATCCATTAAAGAACTGCTCATTCTAAAACCAGACAAGCAGGGGAGCAGCACAAGCCTAAGCAGGGCAGATAAGCTCTCCCCTCCCCATTCCTCCTGATGTATCTTGGTATTTTATATTCAGTCACCTTCTAAATAACGGATTGAAAAGTTAACCTTAATTCAAAGGGGTAAATAAGTAGAATGGGAAAGTAACTAAAATATTTTATTCTGAGGTGTTAGGCACTTGCAAGTGATACGTATGAAAAATTTTGAGAATCCCCATATAACCCATGAATTGTACCATAGCTAGTAATGTCCTCTGTATAAAGCAGCAATGTGTGACTCAAAATATTAACTTGTTCTTTTAAAATCCTTAATGGAAGTTATTTCATAAATGACAACAAGCATAGGATAAAAATGTTGTGTTGGACTGTATAACATGGATGAACTTGAAGGACAGTATCCTGAGTTGAAATAAGTCAATCACAGAAAGACAAATATGGTATTAGTTCATTATTGTAAAAAGTCAAGGCAAGGTTTATATATGGAAGGAAACTTTCTTTGTTGGTTACCAGGGGTAGGAAAGGAGAGGAGGGGAGGGGAGAACATTGCAAAAATAAAATAAATAAATAAATGCTATGACAGGATGTGGGTGCAGATGATTGAGCTGGGATCACTACTAACAAACCGAGCTAACCTTATAAAATTAGCAACTAGCATAGAAGATTCAATTAGAGCCTCAGCAAAACTGTAATTTACTACAAACAATTTGAATTTCCCTGAAAATTACAAATCTATAAATGCAAAGGATATAATTCTCCCTGTATTACAATAAATACTATCAACCTAAACATCTTTGTATGACAGGTGATATGAGATATGAGAGTCCAAGGCAACTTGAAGGGGAAAAAAAATACCTGTTATAATAATACATGTAAGTATTTCTAGTAATTAATTTACTAAATAAATATTTCCTAAATATTAGTCATGTGTCAGTATTATTCTGAGAATAAGCATGAAAGAAAACATGGACAGTAAGTCTATCTGCAGATATGTGGTAGATGACATAAACATAGCTGATTTGATGCGAAAGAACACTGAAGTCTGAAAATAAATGACATAGAAAGCAAAAGCACAGAATGAGGTGGGGGGAATATATATGCATAGTCCACAGACAATACAGAAGATCTTGGGAATCGGTAACAGGAAGTAGATCACTGAGACTACTGGGAAATGCATATATTGAGAGGAGCCAGAAGTGTACTTTGAGTGCAGGATTAGGAAAAGCAGAGTCTTGGTTTGGGGGACCAAGCATGATAAATGCCCACCATTCACCTGTCAATTTGTTATACTGTGGTGGCTTGGGTGTTCTTGCAATGCTAGAAGATATGTCACCAGTATTTAAAATGCCAGCAGGGTCACCACTGGTGAACAGGTTCCAGACCAAGAGAGACCAGGAAGAAGGATGTGGTGGTCTGTTTCTGAAAAAATTTTCCAGTGAAACCCTTATAAATAGCAGTGGAACACTGTCTGATATAGTGCTAGAAGTTGAGCCCCTTAGATTGAAAGGCATTCAAAATATGACTGGCAAAGAGCTGCCTTCTCAAACTAGAGTCAACCTTAAATGACGTGAATGGAGTAAAGCTTTCAGGACCTTCATTTGCCAAGGTGGCATGAGTCAAAATGAGAAGTAATAGCTGCAAACACCCATTAATAATTGGAAGAACGGATGTACAAAGTATGAATTTACGAAGATTGGAAGTCATCAAAAATTAAATGGAACATGTAAAGATTGATACCCTAGGTGTCATGGATTGAATTGTGCCCCACCCCCAAAAAAATTTGTGTCAACTTGGCTGGGCTATGATTCTCAGTGGTTTAGAAGTTTAGCAATGATGTAATATGGCAGATACCCCATGAGGTGATAAGCCAGTCAGGTGTGAAAGGATTAAGATTAAAGGTGGGTTGCAACACCCTTAGTCTCATCATAGCCCTGATCAGATGTAAGGAGAGCTTCCCTAGGGTGTGGCCCGCAACACCTTTTATCTTATAAGAGATAAAGAGAGAGAGAAAGGAGCAGAGAAGGGGGACCTACAACCACCAAGAAAGAAGATTCAGGAGTGGAGCATGTCCTTGGGACCCAGGGTCTCTGTGCTGGGACCCTCCTAGGAACAACAGACAGACAGAATGAGAAACTCTTCACCTGGAGCCAGCACTTTGAACTTGGACTTCTAGCCTTCTAAACTGTAAAAGAAATTTCTATTTGTTAAAGCCACCTACTTGTGGAATGTCTGTTGTAGCAGTACTAGAGAACTAAAACATTAGGTAGTACAAACCAAACCAAACTCATTGCCTCTGAGTCAGATCCGACTGGAAGCAACCCCACCCTGGGTTTCTGAGGTGGCATCACTACGGAAGTAGATTGCCCAACCTTCCTTCCGAGGAGTGGCTGGTAGGTTTAAACCACCAGCCTTCTGGTTAGCAGTCAAGTGCCTTAGGCACTACGCCACCAGAGCTTCCCCATTAGGCAGTAGTGAGGTGAAATGTACTAGTATTGGCCATTTTGAATCAGGCAATCATTTGGGTTACCATGACGGGAGTGACGGATTGAAGAGGAATAGCACTGCATTCATCATTGTTGTAGTTTATTAAGATTGTGTGACAACTTGGCTGGGCCTGGTTGAGTGGCTGGGCTGCTAGGTACAGTTATTTCCCATGGTGAGACTGGCAATTAACTCCATGGTGGAATCTACTGAAGCAGCTGAGTAGCTCCTTTAGAGATATGGTCTGCTTCCAGCATATAAGAAGCAGCTTTGAGGAAGGTCTCCAGCTTATGGTATGCTTGGACCCTGCATGTAGCCAAGTCTTCATTCAGTAGTTTGCCATGCCCTGTCAATCTTGGGACTTTTTCTGGACTTGACTTAATGGCCTGTAAATATCAGGACTGTGTCTTTTCACTTGTTGACCTTGGGTTTGTCAGCTTCAACAGCCAGTAGTTGCCTGAGCAAAGAAATACCTCTAGCTTCAGTGGGCTGGGAGCAAAAGGCAGAGCTGAAGCTCAGGGTCAAGAGGCTTCCACCCCACCCCTAGAGCCTGGCATCTGGAATTGGGACTTGTAATCGCAAAAACTGTAAGAGAATAAACTCCTGTTTGTTAAAGGCATTTCACCTGTGATATTTCTGTTAGAGTAGCACAAAGTAACCGAAACAATCATGAAAAAGAGATCCATATTTATACCCACATTCCAAACACAGGTGATCCAACATAATGTAGAAATTATCAAACAGTATCATTAATATCACATGCAAGTAAAATTTTTCTGAAGATAATTCATAAATGGTTGAGGCAGTGAATCAGGGAACTGTCAGAAATTCAAGCTGGATTCAGAAGAGGATGTGGAATATCATTCCTGATATCAAGTGGATCTTGGCTGAAAACAGAGAATACTAGGAAGATAATTACTTGGGTTTTATCAACTTTATAAAGGTATTTTACTGTGTGGATCATAAAAATTATGGACAACATTCCAAAGAATTGTGCTCATGCAGAATCTGTACATAGACCAAGATGAAGTTGTTTGAACAGAACACGAAGAGGCTGTGTGGTTTAAAAGTGTATGTCAAGGTTGATCCTTTCATTACACTTATTTAGTCTGTACACTAAGCAAATAATCCAAGAAGCTGGACTACATGAAGAAGAATGTGGCATGAGGACTAAAGGGAAACTCATTAAGAACTTGCAATATACAGATGACATAATCTTGCTTGCTGAAAGCACAAAAGACTTGACACACTTGTTGATGAAGATCAAAGATCACAGCCTTCAAAATCCTCACAAATGGACCAATAAGAAACATTGTGTTAATAGAGAAAAGATTGAAGTTGTCAAAGATTTCATTTTACTTCGGTCCATAATCAATACCCATGGCAGCAAAGTCAAGAAATCAAACAACGTATTGCATTGGGCAAATATGCTGGAAAAGACCTTTTTAAATTGTTAAAAGAGATATGACCATTAGACCAGAGGAACTAGATGGTGCCTAGCCACCACTATCAACAACTGGGAAAGGGATCAGTGCAGGAGATCCTAGATAGAGTAGGAGAACAATGTAGAACAAAACTCAAAATCATAAAAAAAGCAAAAAAAAAAGACCAGGTTTGCTGGTCTGATAGAGCCTGATGAGACCCCTGACACTATGGCCCCTACTTAATCTTTAGATCTGGAACTGAACTCACTCCTGTGGCTTCTAGCTAAACAATAGACAGGCATATAGGGTGAACATTTACATCAGGGAGATCTACTCCTTACAGCTATTGATCACTAGTGGAAGAACAGAATCTGCACAGGGAGATAGCTCGGGGCAGAAATGCACAGGAAAGAAGGACACAGGGAAGAGGTAAACTACAGGGAGGAAGTCAGAAGAAAGCTGTTACACTGTGGGTAATTGCAGTCAATGTCATGAAACAAAATGTGTACAAATGGCTGTATGGAAAATTAATTTGCTCTGTATACTTTCATCCAACTCACAATAGAAATTTGAAAAAAATTAAATTAATTAATAAAATAAAGTATTAAAAAGCAAAAATGTCACTTTGAAAACTAAGGTGTCCCTGACTCTAGCCATGGTATTCTCAGTTGCCTCATATACAATGAATACAGAAGATTGAAGAAGAATATTAAACATGTTGTAGATGGCCAGAAGTTGAACAAATCTGTCTTAGAAGAAGTACATCCAAAACGCTCCTTAGAAGTCAAGATGGTGAGCTTCACCTCATGTACTCTGGGCATCTTATCAGGAGGCACCAATCTCTGAAGAAGGACCTCACGTTTGGTAAAGTAGAAGGTCAGAAAAAATAAGGAAGACCCTCAATAAGACGGATTAACACAGTGGCTACAACAATGGGCTCAAACAGAGCAATGATTGTGAGGATGGTGCAGGACTGGGTAGTGTTTTGTTCTCTGGTACACAGGGTCACTATGAGTTGGAACCAACTTGACGGCTCTTAAAAACAACATGTTAAATGCATGGTGTCTTGAGATGAATGATTTGGTGGAAGCATAATGGGTTTTCGTGGAAGATTAGAGGTTGGTAAGCAAAATCAAACAGATTATGGGGGCCTGTAATGCCAAGCATTTTGAATGAAGTACGAATTGCAGAAAAAGGGGAACTCTTGAGAGCACAGAATGCAAGTATATGAGTGTGTTGTGAGGAAGAAAGAACTGAGAGGGAGGCATGAGATGATGCAGTGGGTCTTTTAATAAAGATTATAGTAGTGAAAGTTGAAAATACTGATGTACAAATATGCATCACTGCCCCAGGGGACAATATGGTAGACTTCTAACATCCATTTCACCCCTAGCTTATTTTTGTAAGCTAGTCATGGTAACCCCATCCACTGGGGCAGGGACTAGTTTGCCCAGATCTGAGCAAGCCTAAGCAAATTTGGGGTAGTGAGAAGAGAAAAAAAAAAAAGGTTCATATTCTTGAGAGCAACAGGAAGCTGGTCTGTTAGATGTGTTTAGTTCATCCAAAGTAAAGCTCCCTCTTCTGGTCTAAACAACTTCTTGTTGTTGTTTTTGTTACATGCCATTGAGTCGGACCTGACTCACAGTGACCCCTCCTTGGGTTTCCGAGGCAGTATCACTACAGAAGTAGATTGCCCCATCTTCCTTTCAAGGAGTGGATGGTGGGTTTGAACCGCCAGCCTTCTGGTTAGCAGTCAAGTGCCTTAGCCACTATGCTACCAGAGCTCCCAATCTTCTTATTACTAAGTCAATTTACATTGAGTTTTGTGAATGATCTAGATATGGGGGTGGGTTGTTGGTTGGGGTATAAGTGAAACAAGATTGGCCATAAATTGACATGTTGAAGCTGGGCAACAGATATTATCTTGACCTTTATATATATGTTTGGAATTTTCCATAATAAAAAAAGATGAAAATAAAAACAAATTGGTTGGAGTAATGGAAATGTTCTGAAAATAGATAGTGATGAGGTTTACAACATGATGAATATATTAAACAATATGCTTTAAAATGGTGAATTTCATATTATATGATTTATATCTCAATTAAAATAAAATAAATTGGTATTGCCGTTACTTACAGCTGAAAGCAAACTAGTAAGTATGATCAATTTGTCCAGAGCTAATCTTGAGCAGAAAATTAGGCTCTGCTTTGCCTACATTAGTTGTTTCTCGGGTCTTTTAACACACACTTCATTTTTACATTTTAAGTCTTTGCTCTAAGTAAGGAGCTGCCATGAAGTTACACGATTCCCTTACAGATACAGCAATAACAGGAAAATGTGCCTTTTTTCCATTTTGGTTAGGAGTCTTCCTTCCACGATGAGTTAAGGAAAAAAAAAAAAAGAAGTCTGAAAAAGGATTCAACAATTTAAAGGAGAAACTAAGGCCAACAGCCATAGTGCTTTGAGGCCTAGAGAAATGTAGGAGAACCAGAGGGAAAAAGCTGGGGTAGAGTGATAATAAAGAAGTATTTCTAACTGGATGCTGAGAAGGAAATGATATTAAAAAGGATACTTCTAGTTGAAAGTTACTTCCGATTAAATCTGTAATGGAGGCTAAGGTCCAAACCAAGGTCCTATATTCTCAAACTCTTCAATGGAAATTACAAATGAAATCAAAAGAAATTCATAAACCTGCTGCCTAATGTAAATGTTTCTAAAGTTTATATAATTCCACTAAACAGGACAATATTCTAATAAAACATACATAATTTAAAGTTGTTTAGAAGAAAGATGCAGCATTAGATGAAAATCACAGATGAAATACAATTGGAAGGTGATGTCAGCATCAGAGACATTGTGTACAGAGGTTATTATCAGACTTCAAGCAATTAGAAATGTGAGCAAGGCACCATAAAATTGGATGGCTTTAAAAATTGCACTTAAATACTCAATCTAGGGAAATATTTATTGGATGTGAGGGATATGCGAAGAAATGATACTAAATCACAAGTAACATTGGGTATAAGTCTGCCAGATGATACCATGCTAAAAGGAGCAATGTAAACATTTCCTTGAACACTCATTTCAAACGGACACATTAACTACATCATTCAAATCATTCCATAGTTCTTACTTCCTACCTGAGACTGTTGAGATCAAGATCATCTGTATCAAAATCCAAAAGGGGCTGTGGAGTATCACTCGGACCATGTGACTGCAACACAGATGAACTGGATGATATGACTGTGGTTTGGCCTGAGGGATGGATGGTTTTGAACTGGAACTGTGGACCCATCCACAGACGTCTATGGGGTCCAGTGTGTGTTACAATTTCAACCTGAAAAAGATTAGGAATTGTGAGTGAAATGTATTATGAGTTCCCTTTGAGAGCCTTTCATGACCCCATGCTTTCTCTTAATACAGCATACCTCGGAGATATTACAGGTTCAGTTCCAGTCCACCATGATGAAGCTAATATCACAGTAAGGTCAGTCCCATGATTTTTTTGATTTCCCAGTGCACATAAAAGTTATGCTTACACTATACTATAATCTATTTAGTGTGCAAAGCATTGTGAAAAAGTTGAAATATTGTGAGAATTATCAAAATGTGACACAGAGACACAAAGTGAGAACATGCTGCTGGAAAAATGGCACCAATAAACTTGCTTGACACAGGGTTTCCACAAACCTTCAATGGTAAAAAATGCAATATTGGTGAAATGCTATAAAGCAAAGCACAATAAAAATAAGAAGTCCATCTTAACCACAAGAGAGGACTAGAGCACCCATAAACAAAAGGTATAATCACAGCTGTGGTACTTAAGGTTATGTGTCAACTTGGGTGGGCCTGGTTTTGAGTGGCTAGGCAGATAGATGTAGTGATTCCCAACAATGAGACTGGTAACCATCTTCCTGATGGAATCCATTACAGCCTCCTAGGTTTTAAAGAGTCAGATCTTCATAAACTTGGTTCTGGAGTGCGGAGATGCCATTCATGAAAGCCAGTGGGATGGGGCCATAGCTGCTGCCAAAAAGTGAGGGGGCAGGGCTGCCATGCCAAAGGGGCAGAAGAATGGGGCATGTCAAGCCAAAGGGGTAAGCTCAGCACTCAGATGGACTAGGAGACTCAGGCCACTCAATGAAGGGGCTCTATATAGGTGCCAAATTGACAAAGAATGAAATTGTGGTAGTTATGTGGCTTAGTGACTAAGGCATTTGACTACTAACCAGAAGGCTGGCGGTTCAAATCCATTAGTCACTCGTCGGAAGGACAATTGGGCAATCTACTTCCGTAGTGATACCACTTTGGAAACCCAAGGAGGGGTCACTATGAGTCGGATCCGACTTGATGGCAGTAAGTTTAGAGTTTAAGGTTATGTGTCACTTTGGCTGGGCCTGGTTTTGAGTGGCTGAGCAGCTGGATGTAGTATTCCCCATGATGAGATGGGTAATCAACTCCATTTTGGAATCTACTGTGAGGAGCTGAGTAGCTGTTTCAGGGATGTGGTGTGCTTCCAGTATATAAGAAGTAGCTTTGAGGAGACTTCTAGTAGGATGGTGAACAGGCAGACAAGCTACACAGACCTTCAACAAAGAAAAGAGAAACCGGTTTTCACAGATACAGAAGATAATCCTGGAGCCCTAAGCTTTGAAAGGAAGAATATGAAAGTGGATTAAACACCAACTAGTAGAAGAAACTAAATGAAAACAGTGAATACGGAGACAAATGGAGCTGCAGACTGTCAGATATACTGACAGCATGGACAGCCTGAATATTTTGAAGTTGTGTTAGGACCTGAGAATTAACCTAAAAATTGGCCCTGCACCCCAAGGGCTACATGGATGACTATGCTGGGGGCTGATGACTAAAAAAGGAAACAGCAAGGAAGGGGACAAACTGAGCTGTGGACTTTTGGCTGTCTGGAGGGTACAGCCATTTTGAATGTTTACAAGTGGCAGCCATTTCGGGTATTTAAAATGACAGCAATCTTGTTCAGATTCCAGGGACCTAAGAATAGGCTCTGCTGTGCCAAAGACAAGAAGGACATATGGGAGGCTGACAACTGGAAAGGGGACAGGTGGTGAGTGCATAAATGCTGCTGACTAGTGAATAAAGGAGCACAGTACCCTGCTTACTCGGATAACATCCACACAAGATGAAAATTTCGGACGAATCACTTCAACATACAATCACCAACTGAATATAAACAAAAAAAGTCACAATGTCTCTGAGACAACAGACCATCACAGTCCACATAAAGAAGCAAGATAAAGCAGGAGAAACAAGGGACCAGGACACAGACCCAGAACACATCCCTGAGGAAGAAGCAGCATTGGAACTCCCTGATAAGGAATTCAAAAGAATTATATTTAGGTACTTTCAACGGATTGAGAGACAGATCAAGAAAACACTTGACAAAACTGAGGAAAACACAGAGAAAACCCTAGAACAATTTCAGAAGAAAATATAAGAACAAAATGACAAAATAGATGAAAAATAGGAAATGATAAAAAAAATCTTCAGATAGAAATCCAGAAGATTAGTATTAAATTTTCAGAAATAGATAACATATTGAAGGGACAAAGGAGTAGAACTGAATCGATGGAAGACAGAATCAGTGAGATTGAAGACAAATATCTCAATACTTCTTTGGAAAGGAATCAATCAGAAAAAAGACCAAAACAAAATGAAGAAAGCCTAACGTTCATGTGGGATACCATCAAAAGGAACAACCTATGTGTAACTGGAATTCCAGAACAGGAAGAGACAAATAAAACCACAGAAAAAATTATCAAAGATTTGTTGGAAGAGAATTTCCCTAATATGATGAAAGACAAAAATATGTCCAGTCAAGAAGTCCAACAAACCCCAAGCAGGATAGACCCCAAAAGAAAAACACCAAGACATATTATCATCAAACTCACCAAAACCAAAGACAAGGAAAGAATCCATAAAGCAGCACAAGAAAAACAAAAAATTACCTACAAAGGCCAACCAATAAGACTAAGCTCTGATTTCTCAGCAGAAACCATGCAGGTGAGAAGGCAATGGTATGATATATATCAAACACTGAAAGAAAAAAAAAAATTCCAACCAAGAAATATATATCCAGCAAAAGTGTCCCTCAAATATCACGGTGAAATTAGGACATTTCCAGATAAGCAGTAATTAAGGGAATTTGTTAAAATCAGACCAATCTTACAGACCAATCTTACAAGAGATGCTAAAGGGAGTCCATTGGACAGACAACCAACAACAGCAAACAACCACCAACCAGTAACACATATGATGACATAACCCAGAAACCAACCCAGTTATGGAAGTATCCAAAGTAAATAAGCTTACAAGTGTAAACAGGGAACCAGAGACATCAATTAGCAAATGAGTACAACTACAAACCAAAAAGAGGGAAAAAACTGTGTAGTTACAGAACTTCTAAATGGTGAGGAAGTCAAGATAACTGCAAAATAGAATAGACTGTTCTAAACTTGGGAAGAAAATTATAAATCACAGGGTAACCTCAAAGAAAAATAAACCTTCACATCAGAATAAAAAAGAGGAAAAGCACAAATAAATACTAAACAATAGCAACAAAGGAAATGATGACATGATTCATAAAACAATGCAGCACAGAAAATTATATATATATGGAACAAAGAAATCAGAAACACCATGAAAAAAACACGTAACAAAATGACAGCAACAAATTCATACTTGTTGATAATTACAACCAGTGTCAATGGATTAAATCCACCACTCAGGAAATGGAGAGTTGCAGACTGGATAAGAAAACATAACCCAACAATATGCTGTCTACAAGGACACACCTTAGAGAGAAAGACAAAAACAGACTAAAAGTCAAAGGTTGGAAAAAGATGTATCCAACAAATGGCAACCATAAAAGAGTAGGAGTGGGAATAGTAATTTCTGATAAAATTGACTTTAAGACAAAAACCACCAAAAGAGACAAGGAAGTACATTATATAATGATTAAAGGATCGACTGAACTAGACCAAAAATAAATAAATAAATAAAACCAGACTGCCATGAAGTCGATGCTGACTTATAGCGACCCCTCCTTGGGTTTCGGTATCGCTACAGAAGCAGATTGCCCAATCTTCCTTCTGAGGAGTGGCTGGGATGTTTGAACTACCAGTTTTCTGGTTAGCAGTCACATGCCTTAGGCACTATGCCACCAGAGCAGAGCTCCCAAATATGCATCCAATGAAAGAGCACCAAAATACATAAATCAGACTTTAACAGAAATGAAAAGACAAATAGATGACTCCATAGTCATAGTATGAGACTTTAATATACCACTTTCAATGAAAGACAAAACTGGAAAGAAACTCAACAAAGACACAAAAGAACTAAACAATACCATCTACCAACTTGACCTTATAGAGATCTACACAACACTTCACCCAACAATAGCACAATATGCAATCTTTTCCGGTGCACATGGAACATTTTCCAGGATACACCATATATTAGGCCACAAAGCATGCCTTAATACATTTAAAAACATTGGAATACTGCAAAGCATCTTCTGAGTTCACAGTGCTATAAAATTAGAAATCAACAATAGGAAGATAAATGGAACAAGAGCAAACACATGGAAAATGATTAACACCCTCCTTGAAAATGACTGGATAACAGAAGAAATAAAAAATGAAATTAAAAAATTCATTGAATCAAATAAGAATGAAAACACAACATACCAAAATCTTTGAGACACAGCAAAAGCAGTGACTAGAGGCCAATTTATAGCAATAAAGGTACACATTATAAAAGAAGAAAGAGCCAAAATCAACACCTTAACCCAACATCTCCCAAAATTAGAAAAAGAGCAGCAAAAAAACCTATAGTCACCAGAAGAAAAGAAATAAAGATTCAAGCAGAAATCAATGAAACAGAAAATATAAAGAAAACAGAAAAAAATTCAACAAGACTAGAAGCTGTTTTTTTAAAAAAACATTAATAAAATTGACAAACCACTGGCAAATTTAACAAAGGAAAAGAGGGAAAAAATACAAATAACATGAAGAAATGAATTGGGTGACATCACAACAGAACCAACAGAAATTAAAAGGATAATATCAGGATATTTTGAAGAACTATAACAAATTTGAAAATCAAGAAAAAATGGACAGATTTCTAGACACATACTACTTACGTAAACTAACACAGACTGAGGTAGAAAATTTGAACAGATCCATAACAAAAGAAGAAATTGAACAACAGGTCATAAAAAAAATTACCAACAACAAAAAATACCTGGCTCGGATGGTTTCACTGGAGAATTCTACCAAAGGTTCAGAGAAGAACTGACACCAATCCTACTCAAACTATTCTGGAACACAGAAAAGGATGGAATCCCCCCAAATTCATTTTATGAAGCAAGTATAACTTTGATACCAAAACCAGGCAAAGACATCACTAAAAAGGAAAACTACAGACCAGTATCCCTCATGAATATAGATACAAAAATCCTCAACAAAATCCTAGCCAATAAAATCTAACAACATATTAAATAATAATAATAATAATACATTATGACCTAGTGGGATTCATACCAGGTATTCAAGGATGGCTCAACATTAGAAAAACAATCAATGTCATCCATTACATAAATAAAAACAAAGGAAAAGAACCACATGATCATATCTATCGATATAGAAAAGGCATTTGATAAAATCCAACACCCATTCCTGTAAAAACTCTCAGCAAAATGGGAACAGAAGGAACATTCCTCAACATTATAAAGGGATATATAAAGGGATATATGCAAAATCAACAGCCAACATTATTCTCAATGTTGTGTCATAAACATTGACACAAGCATTGTATGTGCTGCAGACAGTAATACCAAAATGCTTTATGAACTCCATGCTCTTTGGAGGGAATAAGGAACATGGCCAATGTTATATTAAACATTGTAAAGATAAGGCAGAAAGTAGTAGCCAATAGCCAAACCAGAAAATATACACATTACATGATTTTACAAATGAGCAACTTAAGTAAGATGTCAAATACAGAAACCTTTGGTGAAAGACTATATCTAAGTGTCTTGTAATTATTACATCCATATCTGTGCACATATTTTATGGAACTTACATTCAATGTGCCTTATTTTTGCCCTTAGTTCTTTCAAATTTAATCAAATTTCTATGACTGTGGTGATTAATTCTTAAAAAAACATAACTGAGAAAGTTCACAGAGCATGGCTCTGTGTTTATGACTCTGTAAGGGCAAAAGAATCATGGTCTTGGAACAATATTCACATTCCCACTAACCATGGGGAGAAAACAACTGATTGAGGACAGTGATTTCTGACTCGAGTAGCTGTATTCAGCAACGTAAATTAGGCCACAGAGAAAACATTCTGTATATTTTAAGCTCAAACCATCAGTGTCACAGAGCCGAGAGGTAAACAGATGCCTTGTGCAATTTCACTGAGGCGATGGCCAGATGTTCCTATTCACTCTCCTGTTGTGTGCATGACAAACATATTGTATGTAGTTTCACACTGACAGCACACATTACCCCTTTTTCTAATTGAAAAGTTGAAGTGAAGGACAGTGGTTTTTTTGCCAGCATTCTATTATGAAGGACAACATTTTGATTCCGAAAACAACACATGCACTTTAGGTTTACTTTATCTTTATTTCCTCAAGAAAACGATGGATCGCCAGATGCCAGGAACTGAAGTACTCTGAAGTATCAACCCTCCTTCAAGGAGCTTCCAGTGAGTATTTCTGGTGTAATTAAATGTCTGTTACCTAGGACAGATTCTCCAGTTCCAGCTTCCCTTTGGTTTTCAGGCTACCCTCTCTGACAAAGCAACAAAACGTCAACTGGCCTCCACTTTTTCTGAGGCACCTGTCTGATGAAAAGCCACCCGATTGGTAATCTGAGACAGGTCATTAACTTCACCAAATGATGTCATACTCCCGGCAGACATAACAGTATTTGTAATGAAGTCTTTTGTAATCTCATCATTTTGAAATCTCCTGAAGTTTCTTTTATTTCAAAGCCCTTTAGATGAAGACAGCTTCACCTGGCAAGGGGAGGAAGGGTCAGCTGAAGAACTGGTTTAGAAACTACTGCAGCATGTGCATGAGTTTAGGAAAGAGCACCCAGCTGTGCACCATCAGGGAGCATGCAGTGTGGAATGCTGAACTTCTATAAAGTATAAAACCAGGTTCCAGAAAATTAATCCCAAAGAGCCTGAAGGGCTTCACTGCTTAAACAGCATTAATTCTTTTTCATTTATTTTTACCCTGTTGAAAATGTTTTCCAAGGTGGTGGCTGTTAGTTGCCACTGAGCAGATTTAGACTCATGGCAGCCCCAGGTGTATCAGAGTAGATCTGTGCTTCCATAGTGTTTTAGAAGCTTAATTTTATGCAAGTTGATCACCAGGCTTTTCTTCTGAGGCACCTCTTGGAGATGCAGCAAAAACATATTGTATATACTTTCACACTGACAGCATGATTACCATTTTTTGTAATTGAAAAGCTGAAGTGCAGTGTTCCAAAGAGTCTTTGAAACGTCAAGGTCCTGAGGGGTAGAGCTAGATTGTTTGAAAGATGTGTGTATTTTATGCTGTCAATAGGAAAAAATAAACAAACTCACTGCCCTTGAGTTGACTCGAATCATAGTGACCCCTATTTGGGTTTCCAAGGCAGTATCTCTAGGGAAGTAGACTGCCCAATCTTCCTTCCAAGGAGTGGCTGGTAGGTTTGAGCTGCCAGCCTTCTGGTTAGCAGACAAATTCCTTAGTCACTGCACCACCAGAGCTAACATACATACATACAAACACCAGAATCATTTTATTGTCTTTCCATATTGGTGTGGGATACATACAGATAGCTATATTCACACACATATATGTATGTGTATCACCACACCAGTATTTATGACAAATTTTTAATATGGAAAGAGAGTTGATGAATTCTTGATGATCTTGCAAGGAATTACCAATTCCTTCCACTTTGCTCTAAGGGAAAAAACTTGAAAATCCAAGAATAAAAATAGTCAGTGGATTTCTGCTTTCTTTCACTTTAATTACCCAAACATTTCAGAGTTTACCTGAGAAAGCCATTCTTCATCTTCCTGTCCACTATGGTCAGAAGCTAAACTGTCATAAGACCCATGTCGAGTAATGGGCCCAGGACTTCCAGGAGGAATCACTATAGGAGAAAGAAAACAGATTTCAATCATGTTAAACCACCTGGTGGAAAATGGACTTGGTCATACATTTTTCCATATGAGCACCTGGGATACTGTTGTGATGCACAAGATAAAATATTACTGTTACAGCACAAAAGCAAATCCAACATTTAATAAAAAAGAAAGACTGACATTCTAGAAAGAACTCTAATAAAAAGTACACTTGAAAATATCCATAGGAATTTACCAATACATTAACAATGAATTTTTAAAATAAATGAACAGCTAATTGTATTTTCATAGCACAAGAAATAAACAGCAGTGATAAAACTATTCATTCAGAAATTACTCATGTACTAGGCTTGAAAATGAAGCATATTTCCCAGGCTACAGGATATAGGATAGTTTAATCACCTGCAATTAACAAAGGAATAAAGCAACTGATCTGATGCAGTTCTTCTAAGTTGGGAAGAAAATTTTAAGACAAATATCAACACTAAGATTCTTTAAAATATCTTTTAAAGAGGTAACTATGGGGAGGAAGTGGGAGGGGAGCTGTTGCATTGTGGTAAACTGTGGTCAATGACATGAAACAAAGTATATGTGAACTGCTGTATGGAAAGTGAATTTGCTCTGTAAATCTTCACCCAAATCACAATAATAATAATAATAAAAATACATCTTTTAAATAGTTTTATATAAATGGGAAGAATTAATAATAAAAAACCACTTTCACCTGCCAAAAAAATCTCACTTATTCAAAGAAATATTTCATTTTCTTAGCTACTTCAGTAGTGTCCCTGATTCTTAAGAGATATAATATAGGCTTAAACTACAGAGAGTCTGTTTTCACTTGCAGAGAAAATTTAGTGAAAGCAATAATATTTCAACACACATTTACTGAGTTCCTACTATGAACCAAATATTAAGCTTTGAAAAAGATTAGCTGCTGCTTATTATTATGCAGAGAAATCAAGCAACAAAATACTGGGGTTGGGTGGACAAGATAGAAAAAAAGAGAAAGAGATGAATAACAGTAGGAAAATGTATAGTTTCCCCCCCCCCCCGAGATGAGCATTGATGAAATATGGAAGAAACAGAAAGGAATGAAAAGCAGGAATATGTCATAATTTCCACCACCCAGAGATACTGGTACATACAGCTACATATGCATTTTCCTTAGGCTAGGTTCCTAAAAAGGAAGTCTAAGGATATGAACATTTTAAAATCTCTTGATACATATTCTTATAAAGAGTGATACACTCCTATGAACAGTGACTATGAATGCCAATCTCACTGTATTCTTGCCAACCATTGCATTTTTGGAAAACTGAATCTTAACAGTGAAACAGATACAAATGCAGTAACCATAGTAATAAGCAAGATTTTAAAGGATACATACAAAAAGCTTAACCTAACCTAGGAGAGCTAAAAGGTTACCTAATCCAGTCAATTATTAATCAAACAAACAAACTCATTCAGACGCATAGTAACCCTAAAGGACAGAGTAGAATTGTCCCCATAGGATTTCCAAGGTTGCCTCATCTTTCTCCCACAGAGTGGCTAGTAGGTTAGAATTGCCAGTCTTCTGGTTAGTGGCCCAATGCTTTTAACCACAGTGCCATGAAAGCTCCTTTAACAATATCAGAGGAAAAATACTACTAGATTTGCAGTGGTTAAAACATTCAGTACTAGCTCTTCAAAATCATGCTGCATCCCAAAAAGTAACTGATTACAAAAGCATGACACATAAATGCTATTTAATGATAGCATGAATACAAAAAAAAGTTAGCCAATTATTATTTAATTGGAAATAGTTTTGGTATATACTGAAAGCTGATGAGTAAACTGGTACTTGCAAAAGGCTGAACTATTTGTTGAACAGTCACTTCCTTTCTGATTTCTTACCTTTATAATATAAAATTCAGGCTTTAAAAATATTATTTGAATGGAACAAGAGGATCTTCAAATCCCTACTCCTTAAATACCAGTCAGGATGAATAAACACAAAAAAACCAAACTCACTGCTGTTGGGTTGGTTCTGACTCATAGCGACCCCTCCTTGGATTTCCAAGGCACTATCTCTAAGGAAATAGTTTGCCCAGTCTTCCCCAAGAAGTGGCTGGTGGGTTTTGAACCGCCAGGCTTCTGGTTAGCAGTCAAATGCCTTAAGCACTAGGCCACCAGAGTTCCCAATACAAATATGGACTAATATTTAGAGGTTGGGACATGCTTTAGAAAGCAGATGAGAGCAGAGAAAGTTTTAAGGAGGTGAAGGAATAAGCCATGGAGATATCTAAGGGAAAAGTGTTACAGACAAGGAGAGTACCAAGTATGAAGATTCAGAGGCAGAAGACCAAGGGAATTTGGTGACAGCCAGAAGGCAGTGTGGTTGGCTGCGGTGAGCCAAGTAAGAGTAGAAGATGAGTCAGGCAAACGAGACAGGAGAGGGCGCGTCTACAGATTGTTCACGACGTTCTTGTTTGTTTTTAAAATAATTTAGAGTAGTTCTAGCTTTAAGAACATTATAGAAAACTGTTAGAAAGTTTTACGTAGAACTGAGAAATTATACCTTTGTGTAACTAACCCAACGTTTATTTTCCCAAGAGTTTATGTTGGGCTTTTTATGTCCTGAGCCAAGACCTGCACCTATCACAGAATAAGCACTAAAGAAGTATTAAGACCCATCAGGAAAATAAGGGTAATAAAATGTGATATCTGAATTGACTTCAAAAGAATCCAGTAGCAGACAGGTGGGTATGGAGATGGATTATACACGAAACAAGATGGTCAAGAAGTGATCATTGTTGAAGCTGGATAATAGGTATATGAAGGTTCATTATGCTATAGTTTTTAGTTTTGTGGATGTACGGAATTTCTCAGAGTGAAAAGTTAAAAAAAAGAAGAAAAAGACAAATTCATTCTGCCATCATCTACAATCCAAGAAAGTGGTAAAGATACAAAATATAGATCTATGAAACAATATCATATATCTGAGTCCCAAATTTCCAAATAGGAATTGTAAAAATAATTCCCATACATTTTGTTAGCTAGTAAATAATTCTTCAAATAAAAATGCTTATGATGAAACCATCACAAGATGGGCAATATGAAAAATATACAGATCTAGTGGGATAATCAGGAGCTCTGGTAGCATAGTGCCTAAGGCACTTGACTGCTAACCAGAAGGCTGGTGGTTCAAACCCACCAGCCACTCTTCGGAAGGAAGGCTGGACAATCTACTGTAGTGATACTGCCTCGGAAACCCAAGGAGGGGTCACTGTGAGTTGGGGCTGACTCAATGGCACGTAACAACAGTGGAATAATATTTTTAAACATCAAGTAAATATTCCCCCATCAGCTCTATATGTCCTTATATTCTAAAACTTCCCACATTACAGGTAGAAAGAATATTCCATGTTCACTACCTTGGGAAAGGAATGACATACCAGGCTGTAGAGGAACAAAAAAAAAAAATCCAAACTTTTGTACCAGGAATAAGAAAAAAGATTGAAAAAAATATGGTAATTAAGAGCAAAGCTCTAACCTCCTCATTATTAGCAATTATACCCTGAAACTGGGGCAGAAGTGGTAAAGACAGATGGGAAAAAGAATCTGCAATGAGACGTAGGGAATGATAGAACCCCCAGAAGGGTTCTGGGGATCCAATATCTGTGAAAAACTGTACCTTCACTCTTAGGTAGAGTATGGGGAAGTAGCTTGAGATCCTACATGGAGCAAGAGTAAAAGGTATTCACGCAGTGCACCTGCACATGTAGGTCTATGACAACGTCACCAAGGTCCCCATGGCATGGGTGAGAAGAACATTTGCTATGTTCCCCAAAAGTAGCACAGATATGGCCCAGAGTATTGACAAGCTCTGAAAAGACTTTTCAGTAGAAACAAGGATGGATGCTCTAGATACTTGAACCAAAGACCAGGTAGGGTATTAGGACATCTGAGTGGTGACAGTGAAGACAAGATGTCCCCAAACTGCCCTATCACATACCTTAAACCACACACCTTGGCACTCTACTAATCCTACAGAACTTAGATGTAGGTTTGGAGGGCAGTGTAACTGACTAGAGGGCAGTGGTGGTTCACTGGTAGCATTCTTGTCTTCTATGTGGGAGATCGGGGTTCACTCCTCAGACAAAGCACCTCCTGTGCAGCGGCCACTCGTCTGTCAGTGGAAGCTTGTATGTTGCTATGATGCTGAACAGTTTCAGCAGAGCTTCCAAACTGAAGCACCAGCAAGAAAGGTCTGGCAATCTACTTCTGAAAATCAGCCAATTAAAGCCCTGTGGATCACAACCGCCCAATCTACAACCAACCATGAGGATGGCACAAACTGGGCAGTGTTTCATTTTGTTGTGCACGGAGTCACCATGAGTCAGAGGAAACATGACAGCATCTAACAATAACAATAATAACATAATTGCCTGAGATAAATTTTTCCACATTTTGTTAGAATGGAGGCTCAAAAGTGAACTTTAGTTTATTTATAGAAAAATACAGTTATACATCTTGCAAATCTGAGTTTAATGAATCTGCTACACAAAGAAAAACATTTAATATCTTTCACATTTAGCAGCTGGTTTTAGACAATTAATAAACTTGGTACAGGAAAAGGAAATGGCATCTGGAGATTAAAAATCTCTGCTGCATTCTATTCCTACCTATAGTACAGTAATTTCCAAACATGCATATGCACAAAACTGAAAAATTATATACTGCCAATTTACTGTAGCAAAAACATCTTTGAAAGTACTGCCTTTACACACAGGCATTTGATAAGTATAGATCCCGGAGCAAGGACGGGAGGAGGAGTTCATTGTGATGTAACTGAGCCAGATCTTGTGTACAGTGTGTTCTCAGGAAAGAGGATGATGCTTCCAGTGAGTAAATAGGAAGTAAAAAAAAAATTAAAAACAGAGTATATTTTGCTGTCTTGTATGTGTGTGTACTTATGTTTACGTGTAAAGCAAACAAAAAGAAATTTGCTTCAGGGCAAATTAGT